GGGCCACCCACACAGCCATGCCAGCCCCAGTCCCGGCCCCGGCAGCATCCCTCTATTTGAGCCGGAAAATAGGAGAAGTGAGGTGGTGCGGGTGGGCGGCCCCGGGGGTCCATGGGGTTTCCCCCCCCCGCCGTCTCCATTCCCCGCTGACAAAAAGCAGCCGGGGGCTCGGGCTTCCTGAAACCGGCTCCGTTTTCCTTTTCCTCCAAAACTGGGTCTTGTAAAGACACCGGTTGTTTCCCCCAGTGGTGGTTCCCAGCTCGTGCAGCCGTCAGTGCCTGGAGGTTTTTTGGGGTGTTTTTCTCTTTACTCAAACATCCTACAACCACGTTTCGCCCCCCTCATGACACATCCCAGCCTGAGCCCTGCTGGGATTTGCTTTTGCTCTCCTCCCACTGTGGCAAATTATCCCAAAACTCTGCCAAGTGCCCTAATGCCCATCTCTTGTATTTCCTTGTCCGCCTTCGTTGCTTCCCAAAGCTGTAAGGCCACCAGCACACACCAGCCCCATCACCCAACAACAGCACGTGGATGTGGGGCACGTTGGCTCCCCACCAGCATCACCAGCCCCTTAAATTGCAACCAAAGAGACGCAACCAAGGAGTTTGGCTTCCCACCGACTGTGCCAGGGCTGCCAGCTCCTTGCTGGGACACCCACCCCAGCGACCATCACTGCCTTAGACAAACCTTTCCCCTCCCTTGCCTCAGCCCTCCACGTCAAAGGGGTTTCTGGGGTGCCTGGGTGCTGCCCACGTTCCCCAACCTCGAGTAGGAATTCCTCACCCGATGTATAGCCAAACGCACGTCTCAACGCCAGTGGCAAGACGAGAACAATGGAAGGCTGCAACGGTCGGGTTTCCCAAAGCTCAGCCACTTTTCTTGGAAACTAGGAGATCCAGGGCAACAACCGAAGGAAAAAAACCTGGAATTTTATTTGCTTTGGGCTCTTGGTACAGGGCATGCCACACCACGTAATAAAACACCTGGACACGCGCTCCGTCAACATGCATTTTGCACGGAAAGAGTCGGAAAGTGGTTCCTACGGAGACGGGAGCAGCCCCTGGCGATGCTTCACCATCCATGGGCAAGTAAATAAACGAAGGGTTCACCTTCATGCTGATCCAGGGACTGAATGCTGGGGAGGAACCACCCCCCCAAACCTGCCACAGGCTTGGAGTCAG